GGTTGCCTTAATAGCCCTCCAGAGGTTTATAGGCCTTAAACCCAACACCAAACTGAACGATATATAAGAGAATGTTTGTCTGATCGAAGTTGGAGGCCAGACGCTTGGGGTAGCTTCACCCAAATTGAGAGAGAGAGAATGGTCTGGGGTAAGGGATGAACATAGGCCGGTCACGGTTACCAGAATTCCAAAGGGTACAGCGTACCAGGGTCACTTAACAGTATTCTGTACGGCAATTATCTAAGATAATTCATATTATTTTTATTTTTATCTTACTGTATTTTATAAAATAAAAACTAGGGTTGAAACTTAACTGAAGCACCACCTACCGCTTGTGCTGCCGCTCATGGCTGCCATCTGCGCGGTTCCTGGGATGGCTGCCCTCCACCCAGGAGCCAGATTCACGAAAGCACTTACGCAAGCACTTACGAACCTGTACATCTTTTCTCAATCTTTGTCGGCTTTGTTTCCAATTATTAAACAGTTAATGAGCTCCGAAGCACCAGGAGGATGTTTATAACAATAACAATAGTTGAATGGGAAGTTTTCATACTTGTAAACTGTTTAATAAATGTAACCAAAGCCGTCAAAGATTGAGGAAAGATGTACACGTTCGTAAGTGCTTGCGTAAGTGCTTTCGTGAATCTGGCCCCTAGGAGCCTGACAGCCTATCGCTTGGAAATTTTGCCACCAATCGACATGTAAATTATTAATAATACGCAAATTGTTATGCCATGATTACGTGTTTAAACTGTATTTTGGGGGGAATTGCCCCTGACCGGTTCACTTGACGAGAGAGCAAATCACGCGCGGCAAATTAAGTCGTGACTGTGATATGTGGAATAATAAACAAGTGGAATAAACACTTTTTATAAGATCGTGTTTTATATATACTGTTTTATGTGAAATATTGACGGGTTGGCTTGCTACCTGACGGACCAGTCACTTTGACTGGACGGTAGAGAGACGGTTTCGATTCATGCAGGTCGGCGTTCAATCCCCGACCGTCCACGTGATTGGGCATCATTCCTTCCCCCTCATCCCATCCCAAATCCTTATCCAGACCCCCTTCCAAGTGCTATAAAGTCGTGATAGCACTTTAAAAGAGGTGCGCTTCCCTCTGATAATTAAAAAAAGAAAAATTGGTACCCGACGTTGGAAGCCCGGATGACAGTGGCGGCATTACTGAGAGTTCACGGTTCAGTGTCCTGCTTGACCGACGGCCATCTTACCGTTAGTATCTGATTTTCCTCGACTAAGAGCAATATAAAACCAGCCCCATGCTCTGAAAATGATTCTACTTATTGGTACAGTCGACCAAATAATAACTATGTAGTGATGGAACACCAACAAACTACTTTTAGTACACTCGGAAAAATTCGGAGTTCGGAAAATAAAGGTAAGAGCTAGACTTAAACATTCCCGGCCTATTATATCACATATATGTATTATATTAGGCCTAAGCGAGCGTGTGTTAGGCCTAGGATTGCTAGCAGAGGTAATATTAGGGTAGGTTGTCTTATATCTTTGCTGGCGTTTAAAAAAAAAATTTCCAGTTTGTCAAAAATCAATAATACAAGTCACCTTTCTGGTGGTCCATCACTACGTATTGGGACTTTCCATCCAATAGTTACTGTAAGTACTTTCATTTTAGGAAGACGGGCTGTGTAAAACAGAGATGTTATATAGCGTTGGTGTGCTACAGTTTCCCCATGAGGACTGTGCTGCGTAGCCTCGTGTTACATGACTTGCCTATAAATATTTTACCCTTTTTTCTATGCTATAAAAAAAAGTTAAAAAATGTCAATGTTTTCATTAAATTCTTAGGTAGGTTTAGTCGTAAAATACCTATTTTTGAAATTCACATTAGACCCACAGTCTGTTTTCCTGGAAAATTATAAAATTTACGTAAATTCTTTGGACTATGCAGTAAACGAATGAATAATATATTCTTGAGAGAGGAAAGAATATCATATAATGTTTGAAAAATAAAATGGTCATATAATTTTGCAACGCTGAGTTAGCTATTTAAAGTCGCACTTAATTAGATAAGTTTTCCTGTTCATTGTGAGTACCTGAGATACAGGAGGAGAGGTGCTGTATCCTAGAGATACAGCAGGAGAGGTGCTGTATCCTAGAGATACAGCAGGAGAGGTGCTGTATCCTAGAGATACAGCAGGAGAGGTGCCGTATCCTAGAGATACAGGAGGAGAGGTGCTGTATCCTAGAGATACAGCAGGAGAGGTGCTGTATCCTAGAGATACAGCAGGAGAGGTGCTGTATCCTAGAGATACAGCAGGAGAGGTGCTGTATCCTAGAGATACAGCACCTATGGTCACCTCATGCTTTCGTGATTCTTTGATGGCTACTATCCCATCTAATATGTTAGATTATCAAGCTAAATAACATAACTTTCTAACAAATAAACTCATCATTGTTAACGTTCTTGCAATATATATTACTCATTGTAATATTTACAAAAATCAATTGTGACTGATATTGCTTATCGTCAGTCACACTACGCAATGATATTGCGTAGTAAATTAAGTGAGTATTCTATTTGGGTTCTGTTCAGTAAGATATGAATTTGTTGGAAGTAAAATTCACTGTTAATTTTGATATTTAGTACTCACAAGCGTTAGCCTACTGGAACATGTTGTGTAGCTCTCTACCTTTACACAACCACGTGTTGTGTAGCTCAGTGGCAGGATTCAACACGCATTTACACATTTACTTGGAACCGGTTCATCTTCCCTCATTCTTTGGTGACTTTGTTTCCATTTATTAAATAGTTTGAGCTCCGAAGCTCCAGGAGACTTTTTATAACAATAACAACATTTAATTAATTAGTTTCGATGCTCGTAAACTGTTGAATACATGTAAACAAGGCCACCAAAGATTGTTCGTAAGTGCTTTCGTAACTGCTTGATGAATCTACATCTAGGACACCGTTACTCATCGTCTTGTGTAGATAATACCTTTACTGAACGATTTGGAGTTATGTTAAGAATTAATCAACGGCAGCTTGGCGTTGTGTTAGGAATTAATCAACGGCACCTTGGAGTTGTGTGTTAGGAATTAATCAACGGCAGCTTGGAGTTGTGTGTTAGGAATTAATCAACGGCAGCTTGGAGTTGTGTTAGGAATTAATCAACGACAGCTTGGCGTTGTGTGTTAGAAACTAGTATTAGCTGGGAATCAGTACTGGTGAGACATAACACGTCGCATTTTGTACGGAATCGACCAATTTGCGACGTATTACTAAAACATTAAAGCATCAATAAGTTATGTGGGTTGCTTAGATTCATATGTTTCTGGTTAGGCAAAACAATTGCATTTTTTACGGAGCTGCAGAAGGAGAGAGCTGGTTGTGGAGCGGGCGCGGTGCCTGCAATAATTCCTGTGATTTTGCAGATTTTTCAATTTACTTTTTAGAGAGAGAGACTTAATTTCGCTTGATTAAATTAATCAAGTTTAAGCAATAAAAAGAATGTTATATAGCTTTAGCTGATGAAAGTTCACTGGAGTGGTGCGCGTGCGTCGTCCGGGAGTATATTGTGATGCTGGGCGCATGGCAACACCAGTTCCAGCTCGGCATTAATGTAGCCAGATCCTGTAGCCGGGAGCTGCATACTGAGTGCTGTAATATACGCAGCTGTCCGCTCTCCTCCATGTTGCCTACCTGTCACTCTTGCTCTTCCACTGCCATACCTAACGGGTTACAAAAAATGCACAAAAATACTGATTTTGCGGTGACTTGAACAGTTGCCGGTCTCTCTCCCTCCTCCTCCTCCTCCCTCCTTGTAAGGGTGTTGGGTGAAAATATATTTCAGGAAGCTGCTGCTTATTGGGTTTGATGACGATGTACACATGTATGTACTGCTTGATGCACACACAGACGTGTCTGGTCCGTCTCTCCCCCTGCCACCTACGTCAGCACCACCTGCAGCAGAAGCAGCAGTGACACACCTATACCAACTTGGTTTATACCTGCTTGATGGGGTTCTGGGAGTTCTTCTACTCCACAAGCCCGGCCCGAGGCCAGGCTTGACTTGTGAGAGTTTGGTCCACCAGGCTGTTGCTTGGAGAGGCCCGCAGGCCCACATACCCACCACAGCCCGGTTGGTCCGGCACTCATTGGGGAAAACTATTTAGTTTTCTCTTGAAGATGTCCACGGTGGTTCCGGCAATATGTCTTATTTCTCGACATAAGCACCACCACCACCCCACGAGAACACCACGACCCCAAGGGAGCACCACCACCCCATAGGAGCATCACCCCAAGGGAGCACCAGCACCTACATGACCATCACCAGCAGGACCCGCGGGACCAGACGCCACCTCCAAGACCCCCATATGAACATGTCTTATACCCACCTTCCTGCAACAATAAATACTGTAAAAGACCTTCTAGCCGAGAATTGACTAAGCATGAGTGCTGACGACCCCAGAGTACCCACTCACCCACACCAAACACACACACCCCGGGAGAATAAGACCTGGTCTCACCAGCATAACCTTTTTTATTAGAGTTTTTTTAACTGACAATGTAGCGAGGTGTGTGTGTGTTTGTCAGCTGGTGCGCGTCAGGAGGATGTTTAAAGCTGCCAGCATTAGGGTCAAGGTCGTGGTGACCAAACAATAATGAGAATGTTATGTAAGAGATAAAACCGCTCGGCATCACAGCTGGCGGACTTCCTCGTGTAACTGGGCTCGCTGCCCACCTAATCTCGCCATGCGACGGCATGCCTGCCTTTTAAACTCCACTCATAATCCCTCACACCCATGCTTCTCATTCCTACAACCTACATACCATCTCTCACAACATTACCTCCAGACAAACCCTAAATATTCCCCGACATTTTGGCATAAAACATTGGGAACCAATGAAAGAGTATAGAGAAACGTTTAGAAAACTAAATACCTCCACTCGCCAGCCCGTGGGAGCATTTTTAAATTTTTGGCGGGACTCTTATGGCTCAGTTTCCTGGTGGCGGCTGGCGAGGTCGGGTGCATGGCCACGCTCTCCTCCCTCCTACTTGACTAACTGGCGCCCGTACCTCCTCCTCTCAACTGCTTTTACTCAAATGGTGCTTAAGGCTGACGTCTGAGGCGTGTAAATGATTTTTTGGGGGGAATGGGCGGGTAGTGGCTGTTCGGAACGCTGTACCTCGTGGCGATCAGGTGACTGTCCAGGCCCCAGAGTTCTGAGGTGTGTGAACTGGTGGGTCAGTGTTCTGATGTGTGAACTGGTGGGTCAGTGTTCTGAGGTGTGAACTGGTGGGACAGTGTTCTGAGGTGTGAACTGGTGGGTCAGTGTTCTGAGGTGTGAACTGGTGGGTCAGTGTTCTGAGGTGTGAACTGGTGGGTCAGTGTTCTGAGGTGTGAACTGGTGGGTCAGTGTTCTGAGGTGTGAACTGGTGGGGCAGTGTTCTGAGGTGTGAACTGGTGGGACAGTGTTCTGAGGTGTGAACTGGTGGGACAGTGTTCTGAGGTGTGAACTGGTGGGTCAATGTTCTGATGTGTGAACTGGTGGTGCAGTGTTCTGGTGTGTGAACTGGTGGTGCAGTGTTCTGAGGTGTGAACTGGTGGGTCAGTGTTCTGATGTGTGAACTGGTGGGGCAGTGTTCTGATGTGTGAACTGGTGGGTCAGTGTTCTGAGGTGTGTGAACTGGTGGGGCAGTGTTCTGAGGTGTGAACTGGTGGGACAGTGTTCTGAGGTGTGAACTGGTGGGCAGTGTTCTGAGGTGTGAACTGGTGGGTCAATGTTCTGATGTGTGAACTGGTGGTGCAGTGTTCTGGTGTGTGAACTGGTGGTGCAGTGTTCTGAGGTGTGAACTGGTGGGTCAGTGTTCTGATGTGTGAACTGGTGGGGCAGTGTTCTGATGTGTGAACTGGTGGGTCAGTGTTCTGAGGTGTGTGAACTGGTGGGGCAGTGTTCTGAGGTGTGAACTGGTGGGTCAGTGTTCTGAGGTGTGAACTGGTGGGGCAGTGTTCTGAGGTGTGAACTGGTGGGGCAGTGTTCTGAGGTGTGAACTGGTGGGTCAGTGTTCTAAGGTGTGAACTGATGTGCAGTGTTCTGAGGTGTGAACTGGTGGGACAGTGTTCTGAGGTGTGAACTGGTGGGTCAGTGTTCTGAGGTGTGAACTGGTGGGTCAGTGTTCTGAGGTGTGAACTGGTGGGTCAGTGTTCTGAGGTGTGAACTGGTGGGGCAGTGTTCTGAGGTGTGAACTGGTGGGACAGTGTTCTGAGGTGTGAACTGGTGGGTCAGTGTTCTGAGGTGTGTGAACTGGTGGTGCAGTGTTCTGATGTGTGAACTGGTGGGTCAGTGTTCTGAGGTGTGAACTGGTGGGGCAGTGTTCTTAGGTGTGAACTGGTGGGACAGTGTTCTGAGGTGTGAACTGGTGGGACAGTGTTCTGAGGTGTGAACTGGTGGGACAGTGTTCTGAGGTGTGAACTGGTGGGTCAGTGTTCTGAGGTGTGAACTGGTGGGGCAGTGTTCTGGGGTGTGAACTGGTTAGGCAGAGTTCTGAGGTGTGAACTGGTGAAGCAGTCATGAGTTGTGATCCATGAGTGTTATAGGTTGGGGAAGTTATGACTGGTGAGAGAGCCGTGGATTGTAAGATTCGTGAACTTGTTATAGTTGTGATCCGTGAAAGTTGTGATCTGGTCAGACAGGTTTCTTTGGAGGTGACTTAGAGATGTTAACAGCGCTTTGAAGTGTCATATCGGGCTAAGTAATCATACAAATGCCATTTATTGCATACATAATATTCATAATTGTATTATTTTGCCTGTTATGAAATATAATTTGGACGCTTTGTAGCACCGCTATCAAATGGCAAGCCCGTTCATGTTTTATATGCTGGGGTAGCGAGCCAGGGCAGTGTGACCTGATTTCTCTGTAAGTGGGAGGAGTGCGACTGGAGTGTCTTAATTGATTTCCTTGATTGTTTACGAAATGTCAATAGCATTAATCATTCTAAAATTTATAATAGTCTATGTTTAATGGTCAGCTTCCTTGTACTGCCTGTGGAAGTTCTAGTGATGGTCCAATACAGAGGACGTTCATAAAGGGTTTATGCGTTTTTTTGTATTTTTATTAAATTTTTTGTGATGGCTATTTTCGTTTTTCAGTAATAATTTTCATACGAAGACTGGGGAAATCTCCCGACCGCTGGTTTTCGCCTCCTACCGTTTGTATGCACTGCTCAATCAAATCAAATTATTAATTAAAGAGCGGGAAACGTCGCGCGTATTAAAGTTGAAATACTGGTATAGTGTGTGAGAATGAAGCGTTGTTTGTGTGTGTAATATACCATATTGATGGTGAAGCTGATCAAAACATAGCTTCATAAACGCTTAGCATTGTGCATATGTTATAAGACGAGTTCTAAGACTTCTTACTTGATTGTATTTTTATATTCTCAATATTACAATCAGGTGGAGATATCAGGCCTAAGTGAACGATCACAAAATTGTTAATGGAAAAGGTGCAATTCAAGACGGTCATTAGAACAAACGCTAAAATACAAACTCTGTATTGAAGAGACTTTGACTTGTGCATGCTTGCGAGTTGATTGAGACCAGTGAAGATGGAGAGCCCGTCTTACCTAGCGGAGGATTCAGCCTTCCTGGACACGCTCGACCTGCCCTCCAGTGAGGTAAGTGACGCTTTCAAGCGTATAAGGTTGATGTTGCCCTTAGGGCGTCCTTGCTCTAGATTCTGGAGGTCCATTTATTTATCGCGCGGGATAAGAGGAGGCCCAGCTTGCCCCGGTTAAAGGTGAAGTAGGGTTGTGGAGCCACCCACCGTCTCGGCGGCCTGTTCAAGTTAAAGATAGGGTTCAAGCCAAACGTAGGCGTTCCTATAACCTTGATACCTGCTTGCTTGATGGGGTTCTGGGAGTTCAAGCCAAACATAGGCGTTCCTATACCCTGATACCTGCTTGCTTGATGGGGTTCTGGGAGTTCAAGCCAAACATAGGCGTTCCTATACCCTGATACCTGCTTGCTTGATGGGGTTCTGGGAGTTCAAGCCAACATAGGCGTTCCAATACCCTGATACCTGCTTGCTTGATGGGGTTCTGGGAGTTCTACTCCCCCAAGCCCGGCCCGAGGCATGTCGGCATTAGTAGCCTAGCCTACACAATTATTGTTCATTCTGCCGCTCAATGGGTAGGCATTTAATATAAGGCGATCAGGCTGCTGAGAACATAGTAACGGATATACAATTCATATTTAAACTACCAATTTAATAATGTAATGATAGCGAGTATTACATAGTATAGCTATAGTGGTAAATATTTGACCTAATATTTGACCTTAATTATATATATATATATATATATATATATATATATATATATATATATATATATATATATATATATATAAATATATATATAAAATGTGACAGTGTCAGACCATGAAGGAAGAATTGAAACAGGTATTTCCTTAAGTACTTTCGTATTTAATAATCATCTTCAAGGAATTCATTCCTTCTCTCTCTCTCTCTCTCTCTCTCTCTCTCTCTCTCTCTCTCTCTCTCTCTCTCTCTCTCTCTCTCTCTCTCTCTCTCTCTCTCTCTCTCTCTCTCTCTCTCTCTCTCTCTCTCTCTCTCTCTCTCTCTCTCTCTCTCTCTCTCTCTCTCTCTCTCTCTCTCTCTCTCTCTCTCTCTCTCTCTCTCTCTCTCTCTCTCTCTCTCGTTCCCTTCCTCCCTTATTGTAATTTTCCCATTCCCCCTTCTCTCGCCGAATTATTGCTTTCTGTTAGGGGATATCTTACCGAGAAAGACGTAATGGGATGTGAAGTGAGGGAGGCAAGTGTGGACAAAGAAGAGAGAGAGAGGGTTTGAATAGAAGTAGAGCAGATTAAATAAATGCAGGTCCGGAGAGTACGGTGAGAGGGTGAAAGGAGGGAGAGAGAGAGAGAGAAGGAAGATTGAGAGGAAAGGGAAGTAGAACCAAGTGTAAAAAGGGAGAGAGGGAGAGGGAAGAGTTATATTTCTATAGAAAACAAGTGGAGGAAGGAGATGGAAGAGTAAAAAGGGAGAAATTAATGGGAAAGGTACGTGGAAGGCAGGACGGATATGGGAAGGAAGAGAGGGATTAATATCTGACGGGGGCTTAGCAGAAACTAAGTGTGGAATAGAGGAAGGAAAGAACACGTGTTCTAAGAACTGTTGTTGAAGCCGAACATTTGCAATCTAAATTTAAGAAGCACCTGAAGGGAAATATTAACGAAAAATAAAGTTGGAAAAATAAACTACATTTAGAAAGGAAAAAAACGGTTGGAAAAAATAAATAAATAAATTTACACTGAACGAAATGGAAATTCCGAAAAAATGAGGGAAAAACAGCATTAAATTGTGAAGAAACTGATTTAAGGAAGGAAAGTATCAAGATGGCATGAATGAACACCAACTGGGGATGGGTCTGTTGAGTCTATAATCCCCTTATATTATATTATAATCTATAATAATCTATAATCTATATAGTTGAGTCTATAATCCCCCTATATTACAAATTAATCCCCCTATATATATACTAGTATATGCAGTATATATATATATATATATATATATATATATATATATATATATATATATATGTCGTACCTAGTAGCCAGAATGCACTTATCAGCCTACTATGCAAGGCCCGATTTGCCTAATAAGCCAAGTTTTCATGAATTAATTGTTTTTCGACAACCTAACCTACCTAACCTAACCTAACCTACCTTTTTCGGCTACATAACCTAACCTAACCTATAAAGATAGGTTAGGTTAGGTTAGGTAGGGTTGGTTAGGTTCGGTCATATATCTACGTTAATTTTAACTCCAATAAAAAAAGTTGACCTCATACATAATGAAATGGGTAGCTTTATCCTTTAATAAGAAAAAAATTAAAGAAAATATATTAATTCAGGAAAACTTGGCTTATTAGGCAAATCAGGCCTTGCATAGTAGACTGATAAGTGCGTTCTGGCTACTAGGTACGACATATATATATATATATATATATATATATATATATATAATATCAACCCATCCTCCAGTTTAGATAGTACTTTTTGTAACTATATGGACCATCGTACATATGTTGATGTAATGTACAATTAAATATATTTTTTTAGAATGGAAATGTAACTGAAAAAATTAATGGAACCTGGCCCAGCAATCCTAGGCCTAATATTCATTATTTTTGGATGTAGTATAGTACACATATGAGCTATACAAGACCTAGGAATATTTAAGTTTGGTTTTTAGCTGATGTTCATGGCCAGGATGTCCCAATGTTTGTGTGTTTTGTGTGGGTGTGTTGCACGCCTTAAAATTCTACACATTCTCTCTGCATTGCGGAACATTGATAATAGCCAACTGGTGCGTTCATGTTGTCAGCAATGGCGCAAACATTGGCAGAATTTTCCACAATGTATCTTGGCTTCTGGTGCGCCTAGTTGACCGTGTCTGCTAGTTCTTGACTGCGTCACCTCCACTGCCATCCACTTGTTGCTCTCATGTCGAGTTCAGAGGAGCCTGTTCTTGATATAATTTATTTGCGGAGAGCCGACGAGTTTTGGCTAGCCTAGCAGGTATAGGTAATTATCAGGAGAAAGCCAGTTCTCAGGTGGGATTAGTCTGATTTCAATGTGCATGTTGTTGGGAGATTTTCTTCACTTGGAAGCCTCCTCCTGTGATGAAACGTATTGCTTTATTTTAAATGTAGTTTATTTAGCACCAGCGCTAGGCTCGGGGTCGCCTGGTCTAGGACTTGATGGTGTATACCTGGGAAGTTGTGGCTCGCTCGAGGCCACACTAATGCACTTTATATTTACTAAATTGATTTAGTTTTGGTGTTAGTCTTTAAGGTGTATCAATCACGGGAGTGTTACTAAGGCCACCGGGAACTAACTCGCCAACCAGCAAGTCAAGATCAGTCTTAAACAGTTCTAGATTAGCAGAAACTGACGCATATATCGATGTAACGGCCTATATCCCTATTTTTCCAATAGAAAAATGCTGTTGTTAAAATCATTGTTAAGGTTATTTAATAGCATTTGCACCGTTATAAAGACCAAGACGGGTTTAGAGACCGTGCCCTCGGTGTTACGAGTGCGATCACAGCATGTATATCTTAACAGTTTCTTGTCTCATCATTATCATCAACACTAATAATTAGTATCGTATGTTTATCATGATTACACACTATTATTGACAGTCGCCGCATAGACTTGTATATCATGGAGGCAGCGCCGTGCCCCGGGCGATGTGCCCCGGGCGCCGTGCTCCGGCCACCGTGACCCAGGCGACGTGCCCTGGTTGACGTGCCCCGGGCGACGTGCCTCGGGCGACGTGCCCCGGACGACGTGCCTCGGGCGACGTGCCCCAGGCGACGCTGGACACATCTTACGAGCCTCCGGGACCTCCACCTGACTAAATAGGGAATGAAAGACAGAGGTAAACGAGGAAGATATGAAACACTGATAAACGAGGAGCAGAGGAGATTGGGAGAAGGGAACGTAAGGAGTAAAGTGATGATAAAGAGGGGGTAGGGAGGAGGGAAGCAAAACAAACAAAACTGAAGAATGAAGCCATGGTAATTGAGGTTAAGAACCATGATACACGAGGAAGATGCTATGAAAAACTAGGGAACCTGTGAAACTATGTATCATATAAGAATAGTATATTATATATATATATATATATATATATATATATATATATATATATATATATATATATATATATATATATATATATATATATATATATATATATATATATTATGTAGTTATATACTGCGGGGACGATACTAAGATTCCCGACGACACTCTGGGATCGTCGAAGGTTGGTCAGTCGTGGAGCTTGGTTAATGAGCACCAGGACTGACCAATCCTCACTGACGATCACCGGTGCGGTGGTCACGGTACTGCGTAAGTTTGAGGGTGATTCTAGACGTCATGAGTTCGAGTCCTGGTGGGGTCATATAGAGTTCTTAGTGATTTATGGCTTGCGCGTTCCTGCAGCCTTTCTCGTGTGTGTATATATATATATATATATATAACAAGACAATGTATAAACGAAACAATGAAGAAAGAGTTGCAGGGGGTATTATATTTATACTTTATTTTTTAAATAATAAAAAGTATAAAATACAGGTTATATTTCTAGAGGAGAGAAAGAAGAAAAGAGAAACAGAGGAATGATAATGGGGATGGAAAGCAAGATAGGATGGAGGGAACAGAAATAAAATAAAAACATGGAGAAAGAGAGGAGATGCAAAGCCACGAGAAGAGGGAAATAAAGGGAGAAAGAGGGAGAGACCGGAGAGGAGAAAGACAAAGGAATTGGGAGGAAGCTTTAAATATCGGAGAAAGGAGGGAGAGGAAGGGAGAGAGGCGGTATGAAAGCGGTGCTTGGTGTGAATGGTGGGGCAGGAGGCACTAGGGTGAAGCACAATAAAGCAGGTGGGGGCAGGTAGAATAAATAGGCGAGGGGGAGGGGGACCTGACGACGATAGGCTGTGTACGGTCTGGGAGATGGGAAGGGAGGGTTAGTGTGTGTAAGGGCTGAGGGTTAGTGTGTGTAAGGGCTGAGGGTTAGTGTGTGTAAGGGCTGTGGGTTAGTGTGTGTAAGGGCTGAGGGTTAGTGTGTGTAAGGGCT